CGTGGTCCTTCCCCGGTCGAGCCGACCCATTCGTGCTACAACTATACTACTAATATAACTGCAGCATGGCTCTACCACGTAAAATCCTGCGATTGCGTCTGCAAAGCGTGGCATTTACGGAAATCTTGGGGATGTCATGAATGAGGATATCCGTAGTAGAACCTGAGTAACCGACATAGCCCAATGGATCAATAATCAAAGAAGTGGCAGTGGCAGGACATATAAATTAAGGAATCGATAATCGAAGGGAAAAAAGTTTTTCGAGTGACAGCCTCGTAGTGTAGGGCGGCGGCCACTAGATGGAGTATCGACTTGGTAGGAGATGCAGGAAGTCTATGAATGCAGGTGGTTCGGCATCGTGGTTTTATTGGCATTCCTTGAGGAGGCCTATGTTCAGCAGTGGACTTGTGGAATGCTGTAGTGACAATAGTATCGATAATGTTTATTTATTTGTTTAATAATTTGTGTACACACAAAGTAATGTAACAATGTAAAAATAAAAAAATATTTTATAATAATAATAATAATAAATTTATTCATAAGAAATACGGTCAAAGATGTTCTTATAAAATAATAATGTATCACATATTTCACCAATTTTGGTATATGAAAACTTATGGTTAGAATATACAAAATTTAAGTAAAATTAAACGTGCATCTGTTTACAATTTTAATATTAATCCTTTAAAACACGCTTAAATAAGAAACAGTGTTTAACAGTTAATCGAAACGTTCTTTTATTTTTAGCAGTTCATTTACCGAATAAAATTGTTTTTCCAAAAGTCACTTTAATAAATTACGTCTAAATCAATTATAATCTAGTTGCCTTATTTCATTTGGGATTTTATTAAACACTTGTTAAAAACATTTGTACAAAGGCACTGCTTATTTCATATTGAAATTTCTTTCAGCAGTCTATAATAAGGATATGTATATGTAACGTATGTTGAATTGAAAAAAATTCCATATATTATTCTGCACTTTTACTTCCTTGTGTAAGTTATTACTGGCACAATGTAATAAAAGCATGTAAAAATGATGCTACCAATCGAAAAGTCATTGGGATTAAAAAATTCCATAAAATCCGTCGATAGCCTTGCCGTACAGACAGAAAGACATCCGTCCAGGTTAACGAAAGGTCGAAGTATTCGAGAAATCACATATGCACTCTTATTCGAATATTGTTTTTTTTATAGAATAAGGATGACGAGAACACAGTCGACCTGAGTCAGTGCCAGGTCGGTGGATACTGTGGCCCATTGACATCTACATTTATCTTCGATTGGGAATTCTCGATACGATTCTCTACACTTACCATAAGAAACACAGCAGCATAGTGCTGCCATTTTACGCTGGTATTCTGTGGTCCTACCCCGGTCAAGCTGACCTATTCCTACTGCAACCGAAGTACAGCTGCAGCATAGCTCTACCACGTTAAAAGAAAGGTTTTTGTGACGCCCTCGTTACGTGTAAATGACTATAATAAGTAAAAAATAATAAAAGCAGATTTTAAAACCGGAAACACTATAAGAGTCACAGCACAGTACCGAGTCATCTGCAAAAACTATAATAACAACTAATTTGAGTTGCAATTTGACCACTCAAAAATCCATAGATGATAATGACGATAAAAAATAAAAACACACAAGATATATAACATTGTACTTTTTCTTTTCCTCACTGGTCCTCCTCCACCCACATTGTAAAATGTACAAATTATAAATGAATCTTTTCATTTTTAAATAGGACCCACGTAAAATTACTTATACTGCCAACGTATACAGCCATTTTGGAAATCGAGAAAACATCCAGTCATAGTGGCAATCATGTTTCCATTGATTTTGAAAACCGTTTTCCCAAATTTGGAACAAGAAAAAGAGGAATACTGGATGAAGATTTCCTCAATTTATCACGGTTATAATCAGTCAGTCCAAGCTGCTCCTTTCAGTTGCCTAACTCGGTAATTCGGGCACAGCGCGACCCCAATAGATCGTTTAATATCTATTCTTCAAATATCTTGCAGCTACTCTATACTCTTAAGTGACTATCATGAAATCTGTCATACAAATATATATTTTTTATAGGATAGGGTGACAAACGAGTGCACAGTCCACCCCATGGTATAAGTGGTTGCTGTGACCCATACACATCTACATCTATCCTCGATTACGAATGAAAATACAGATGCGTTGTCACCCGTGAGGACTAAGATGGAATGCCTCGTTTCCATTTAAATACTCCGGTTCGCTACATTCACCATACGAAACACAGCAGCATTAAGCTACTATTTTATGCTGGTATTCTGTGAGAGCGTTGTCCTTCGCCGGCCGAGACGACCCATTCGTGCCACAAATATACTACTAATATAATGATACAGCCATAATATAGCTTCAGCATGGCTATTCCGCGTAATGCTTATTAATTTTTACGTAATGCCTATTTTGGCACCGTAGCATAGTGGCATAGCAATGAATTGCAACGCTGGAGGCCGTGGATTCTGCCGCTGCAGTCTGCAGTCTGTGAACATGTACAGGATCGCCCCCGTCACTACATCAGATTTGATAGACCACAAATCCTCGCTAAAGAACACCGATTCCTTCCAAGGATGATTCGCGAGGCTATTGAAATCAAAAAACATCCTAATTTCAATAGAGAAGATGGTTGGGTGCTACCATCTGCTTGGGATCCTATAATAAATAAAATTAAATCCCAACCCAAGCATACAACTGCAAGACTCCATGATACCATAAGTTCATACTGTGTAGATCGGAACAAAAGTTAAATTTTTATCTATGGTAACCGCGGTTAACTATGACAGCTGGACGTTGAACATCTCAGTCCTTCCCGTGATCATGGGTGCTGTAAAGCTCTCGAAACGTCGGGTAAAAAAGTAAAAATTAGTATTATTTCAATGTATTTGTATGGTTTGCACATGATTGTTCCGAATTTTGGTCACGATGAACAGTCTCAACGGAGACAAGCTATCTGTCCGGGACCTGATTTTAGTGTACAACAGTATATGGAAGAACATTTGCACTCTCTATTCCCTCACTCTCATAGTCCGATAGGACGGAAAGCCGACACGACCGGAGAGAAATCAGACGCACGACCAATCTCTTTACGCGCTTTCCGAGGCACTAGGGTGTTTCATCGCCAGCTTTTGGTTCTCCGGGTTACTACTAAGAATTTTTTGATAGAAAAACTCCATAGCTAATTTTGATCCGATCCGGGATCTCACGATATGTCGCGCCTTACGACCTCAAGATCAACGAGACAGTTAATAAATTATATAAAATAAAATAACAATATTGTGATTGTTTGTTACAAAAACTGTTAGCTACGATTAGTACTCAACACCCACAATTGAGCAGTTGAATATCCAGACCGAATTTCGGTCACGGCGGCCAGCCTCAACGGGAACTAGCCATCGGCACAGGACAGGATTGTAGTGCTCAAGTGTATGCGCAAACACATGTGCACTCTCCATTCCCTTACTCTCATGGTGCGATAAGACGGTAAACCGACATGACCGGAGAGAGATCAGGTACAGGACCATCGGCTTTACGTGCTTTCCGAGACACGGGGGTGAGACGCCGCCAATTTTATGACTCCGGGCAGCTACTGAGAATTTCTTAATGGAAAACCTCAAAAACTCCATAGCATTATTTTTGGTCCGACCCGGGATTCGAACCCGGGACCTCATGATCAGAAGTCACACTACTACAACCACTAGACCAACGAAGCAGTCAAGTTGATTACACTGACTATTGATCCGTTACCGTCGTAGCCTATCGAAAGTCCACCGCTAGACACAGCCAGTTGGGGAAATATGAGCCGTAGGTGGCACGTTCCACAGACGGATTAGCAATCGCAGTTTTTACTTTAGTCGTTATTAGGAAGATGCTGGTGCCCGTCTCCTGATTTGAATAGTAGTAGTAGTAGTAGTTGTAGTGACGGTGCAAGAATTATCCACTACTTCATATCATCCCGTGGGTGTCATAAGAGGCGACAGAGGGAAAACGGGAGATGGGCAGCACCGTCTTCCTAATAACGACTAAAAATAAAATACTGCGTTTGCCAAACGTGGCAACTATAGCAAATATCCCCCATACACTTTACTAACTTACTAACCAACAAATCATTTTGTTCACAGAGATGCTATGGCCAAAACCCGGCCCCGCACCCTATCCTATAAAAAAAAACGTACGTGTAACTTGTAACGGTAAATTCGCAAATTGTATTTCCATCATATCATCACTTAACATAAACTATCAATTCGCTTTAACCCTTTAATGTCCTTAAAAGTGGCCTTGAGGACGACTTATATTGTATTTTCCTTATAATATGGTTGACATTAACACGTAAGAGCATTTCTCTGAGAGTCGACTGCACTGACAATAAAGATTCGGTCTGTTAATTGCAGACTTATTAAGGTTCGGTGTCATATTACTGTCCCGGAAGTTCACGGCCGATGAAATGGCGGTGACACATAGTAGAGAAGTAAGAACGAAATAAGTCTTATTCCGATCGTTCTCAGAAATTATCTGCAAGATATAATCTCTTTAATTTTTCTACGCTTACAAAGAAAACTTTAGATAGAGCCAAACGAAATAAACATTAATTTAGCCAATATAAGACTCAATAAAAAGGAAAAATCGACTTCAAATAACTGAGAAGAATAAAAATAAATTATTTCTGTTATAATAAAATAACTAGCGATTTTTTTTAAATATTTTTAATTCTTTCAATTCGGCTATTACGTTTTATCAAGACTAATTTTTTGACCTTTTTAAATCGACTAAGGAATACCAAAAGCTCGAATGTCCACCATTAGAGTAGGATATTTTTTCCAAACTTATATGTATGTGATTGCCCTGTAGTAACCTATAAATCGGTCGAATTAAATCATTGGGAAACAACCATAATATAGCTACAGCGTGCCTCTACCACGTACCGATCTTGGCCTTCTTACAATGAAACAATGATATATATTGTTACAGCCTCAATTAATCACTGCAGCGGGCTACCCGGCAGAGCGGCACCGCGCCACAACGCCTGACGGATACGTGCTGCAAATGCACAGGATACCGGCGGGCAGGCGCACGTCCAGGCGCTCGGGCCCCAGCGGAAAGGGCAAGAAGGTGGTGCTGCTAGTGCACGGACTCATAGGCAGCAGCGCAGACTTCGTTATTATGGGACCGGACCGAAGCCTCGGTATATTTTTAATAATTTACATGATTACGTTGACAGCTCCATGACGTTATATAATACTTGTTCTGAGTATGGATGCTAGTCCTTCACCCTCCTTATGGGGCAGTCGGATAATAAATAAGTAGAAACAGTGCTCCTGTCATTTAAAGAACATTTTTGTTGTAAATTGAAGTGACAGACTAACTTATTGCCCAATCGATGACAAGTGACTACTTAATTTCTTAAATACCTCCACCATCTTCAAAACACAAGGCTACAGATGCGTCGGCACCTCTGAGAACTACGATGCAAAGTTTTGAAGCCTGTAATTATACTGTCTGTCTTCAGACCGAAACACAGCAGTGCAGTCGCTACTGCTTGGCCCCACACGGTCCACCTGATAGCTAGTGGATATAAGTGTCGATAGATATCTACATTAATCTATAAAATGCTAAAGGACTAAGATTGAATGCCTCTTATCCAGAAAAAAGAGTCTCCGGTTCTATAAACTTAACATGCGAAATACAGCTACTATTTTACGCTGGTATTCTGTGAGAGCGTGGTTTCCCCCATTCTTTCATTCTCAAATGATAACAGTGGTATATATATATATATATATATATATATATATATATATATATAAGGCACAGCATGTACTCAACGTCAGATGAACAGCGTACTCGTTTGTCACCCTTAAAAAATACCTGGTTAATAGGATATCATAAATTTTCAGGATATATCCTAGCTGACGCCGGTTACGACGTGTGGATTGGAAACCTGCGAGGCAACTATTACACCAGTCATCAGAACCTAACCAGGTCTGATCCGAAGTTTTGGGAATACAGGTGATTATTTTTGGTTAAAAATAATAACTATGTATAAAAAATACTATGTATAAAAAATGTATATATTAAATTGCCGTGTGGAAACGGCATAAGAGAATCAATCTCCCCACATCGTTCCGTGGATGTCGTAAGAGGCCACTGCGGGAAATTGAAAAAAAATCCTATGGCTTCTGACAGATGGCGCTATAATCAATTCCTTTGCGCCAGAACGAAAAAATATTTTAATGCGTGGTAGAGCCACGCTGCAGTTATATTATAGTTGCGGCACAAATGGGTCGACAAGTACGGAGAAGAACCACGCTCGCACAGAATACCACCCTAAAATAGCTGCTTAATACTGCTGTGTTTCGTATGGCGAGTGTGAAAACCGGAGACCCTTTTTACTGGATACGAGACATTCCATCTAGGTCTTTAAGGGTGACAACGCAACTGCACTTTTGAAGTGAATACTTCTTTAAGGCACGTTAAACACTTTTGAGATGGAGAAAAAGCACTGAATTCGCAAGACCATCACGCTCAGATACATACAGATGTGTGTATATATAGCTCTTATGGACTTTTCTTTTGGCTCTATATACATAAACATCAAAAAAAGTTTGCGATTAGTTTGAAAAATCGAAATCCTTTTTCTTACGGTAGGCAATATTATAATTTCTTCTTCTTTTTAAATTCTTTACATAAACATATAGAATTAAAATATATAACAATCAACCAAATTCAATTGCTTTTCCATATAAAAATAAATTCAACCCAAGCTTACGCTCATTCAGAAATCTGACTTAGTAAATTTTTACGGATTTTAAATATTTTTTCGAGAAGTTGTGATTAAAATAATGCCAAGAGGATTATCAGAAGTACTACAAGCAAGAATTGTCATTTTGAGGGAAGAAGGATATTCCACAAGTGAAATAGCACGCAGAGTTGCTGTATCTCAATCCCGTGTCGCGACCAAGTTGCAGAGATACTACGACATGGATAATTTAACTAATCGACCCTGCAGTGGTCGCACAACTGTTCTGACTGCTGCTCAGAAGTGCTATGTCCAATTGCTGGCAGCCCTTGACCCAACAATCAACACCACTACAATAAAAGCAGAAGTGTGGACCGCTTCTGGACTGACGGTAGCACTCAGACCATTCGGAAATGCTTACACCAGGCTGGAATACGAGCTCGGCGATCGATACGATCTTGGTAACCACCTCTGAATGACGACGACAACGTCAGCGACGGAGGTTGCAATGGGCTAGGTGCCGGTAAAATGAAGAAGATGAGGAGGAAAACATTTGGCAAAACGATCTCTTCGCTGACAAATCGCGAATCAATACTCCTACAGATAACCGACGTGTCCGTATTTGGAGAAGACCTGGAGAACCTGAAAGACAAAAACCTGCCACTGGAATCGTTCAGAAAAGCGGAAAATCGGTATAATTTTGGGGTGGAATTATGATTGGAGCTAGAACGCCTTTAATCCCGTATCTATGCTCCATAACTGGAATTGACAGACCATTCCGAGTAAACTATTGGCACCAATTTGTATTGGTCGATGATAATGCGCCCACACATCGAGCTCAACGAGTCAATTTTGCTCTCCAAGAATACGACATCACAGGATTAGACTGGTCTGCCGTCTTGCCTGACTTAAAGCCAGTAGAGCACGCGTGGGATGCTCTTGAGTGAGCTGTTCGGAACTGACAGCCAGCACCCCAGATCAGGGAAGCCGCTATTCAAGAATGGGACATGTTACCACAAGAAATGCTTGATCTTGAAAAACTTGATACTCAGCATGCCCAGGAGGATCTCCGCATGTGTTCAATGTTGTTGTGCACATGTTAAATTGTTGTGTAAGTTTGGTTAAACCATAGATTTAGTACTAACTAACGTTAGACTAGATTGGCAATGCAAAAGAGAAAGAGCATAGTGTACGCGTACGTTAGAGCGAGAATGATAAGCTAGACAATTTACGTACATGCTATCGGCCTGTATCGGCCCGGAGTTAGATGTCTACGGGATAAGAGTAGATGTATATGGGCCACAGCACTTCCACTTAACATCAGGGGTACTGTGTGCTCATTTGTCACCCTTATTCCATAAAAAAGAATGACGATTAAGCAAAATCTTTCCTACATCGGAAAGGCCTATATATTAAATTATCTTACAAGATAAAGAAAACAGTTTTTTTTTTAAATTCCAGTTTTCACGAACATGGCAAGTACGACGTACCCGCTCAAATAGACAAAGTTTTAAGCGTCACAGGAAACTCCAAGCTCCTTTACGTAGGCTACTCCATGGGTTCAACCAGCTTTTTCATCATGATGTCAGAGCGACCTGAGTACAATGAGAAAGTGGTGGCCTTCATCGGGCTGGCGCCTGCCGTGTATTTGAACCAGATTAAGCCGCTGGCCGAGAATACGTTGAAAGATTTAAATATTGTGGTAAGGCTCTTTTAGACCCTAAAGCGACAGCTTCACCGTTAGTGCTATGGCAGCGGCAAGATAATAAGCGCGTGGCGGCGTTGTCGTCATGACAAAAGCGTTTTACTTGCGCCATGACGACAGCGCCACCTCCGAAGCCTAAATCACGCTATCAAAGTTCCGAAGTAAAGTTCCGTAGTAGTATATAAGAGCAGATTTGTGCTAACACATGGAGCATTGGCTGCTCTCCGGGCTGAACACCTAGTCTAGCGGGAGATCTTCTCTTTCCCTTCCACAGCCAAATGCAAATTTAACAAAAGTTTTTTTCATTATTATTATTTAAGCCATCGCTTAACTACTATCCCACTGATGGTAATTGCTAACTGACGCAGTATAAAATAATGAATCGCACTGACCTAATAAAAGCTTAATGATTTCTTATATTTACGCGAACACTACACATTGAAATAATACTAGTTTTTACGGAATTTATCGCGTATATTTAACTTTTTAAATACCCGACGTTTCGAACGCTTTACAGCACTCATGGTCACGGGCGGGACTGAGATATTCAACGTCCATATGTCATAGCTAACCGCGGTTACCATAGATTAAAATTTAACTTTTGTTCCGATCTATACAGTATGAACTTATGGTATCTTGAAGTCTTGCAGTTGTATGCTTGGGTTGGGATTTAATTTTATTTATTATAGGATCCCAAGCAGATGGTAGCACCCAGCCATCTTCTCTATTGAAATTAGGATGTTTTTTGATTTCAATAGTCTCGCGAATCATCCTTGGAAGGAATCGGTGTTCTTTAGCGAGGATTTGCGGTCTATCAAATCTGATGTAGTGACGGGGGCGATCCTGTACGTGTTCACAGACTGCAGACTTCCCGGAGCGTCGATTCTTCACATCAGCTATATGTTCTTTAACGCGGGTTTTTATTGATCTTTTAGTTTGTCCTATGTAGGAGAGACCATATTCACAATCAAGCTTGTACACTCCTGCATCTTGCAGAGGAATATTACACTTGACTGATGGTAAAAACTGTCCAATCTTCTTCAGCGGCTTGAAGTATGTTTTTATGGAAGCGCGCTTCAAGATGTAGCCAATCTTGTCAGTGACTCCTCTAACATATGGCAGTACAGCAGGTACACGCTCGACTGTGGCCGGCTTCACTCGTTCACTGTGACGTAGGCGCGCGACTCGAAGCTTGTTGTCATGCAAAACTTGCTTGACATGTTGGAGCTCGGCAGCCAGGTATTTACTGTCACAGATCCCTCGTGCTCTCTGAAACAAAGATTTACCCACGGTAGCTAACTGTGAAGGATGGTGGTGAGAATCACCGTTTAAATATCTATCTGTATGGATCTTTTTTCTATACACAGTATGGCTCAAGGTGTTATCAGGATTCCGAATTACTAACACATCTAGAAAAGCTAAGGAATTGTTTGCCTCTAACTCCATTGTGAACTGAATTTTAGAATTTATAGAGTTAAGATGGAAGCACGAGGGATCTGTGACAGTAAACACCTGGCTGCCGAGCTCCACCATGTCAAGCAAGTTTTGCATGACAATAAGCTTCGAGTCGCGCGCCTACGTCACAGTGAACGAGTGAAGCCGGCCACAGTCGAGCGTGTACCTGCTGTACTACTGTGTTACTTGAATTCGTGATGACATAGCTAACCCGGGTTACAATCTTGGGCATCATCCACTACTATAGACCATCAGTATTCAGTAGTCCTCTGCTGAACATTGGCCTCCGCCAGAATGCCATTAAACACGGTCGATAAAGTAAGTGGGATTGTAGTTAAGCATTTACGAAGTAAGAGAGACTAAGGAGAAGAGAGACTAAGGAGACTAGTTTTCACCTCCGAGGACCAAGATGGAATGCCCCTGCAGCTATTATAATTACTCTGTATAACCTGAACACAGCAGCACCCATACGCAGTGTCCTGCAAACCGAATTTCTGATAATTAATAGAATCAGGCGTAACTTTGCGCTAAGGTCAGAGGAAGATCATTTCGAAATAGTAGCTCTTAAATCTGCTCCATTAGAAAAATCACAACGACGTCGATAATACTATCAGAATAATGTATTATAGCTATGCAAGAAGTTTTAGACTTAGTTTACACCGCAATTTTCGCCGCAACTCCACGTCAAGTGCGTATTTTGCGTGTAAGCAGGAATATTATGATAATACGAGCCATGAAATGTATGAAGCTTGCTTAATTGGAGCTCTAATATATCACATCATACTTCCCGTCCTTTACCACACCTGAGAAAAAACAAAATGGTGACAATAGACTGTCATAGTTCGTGAATTTTTCTTGTCTATTTTTACTCAATTGTGTAAATTATATACACCTACCCTATTCGTCATTCGTTGTAAATAACACTTCTTTGCGCAAAAAGAAGGAAGGTTGCCTGGAAGAAAACGCTTTCAGAGTTATAAGACCGCCTGTTGAACCTTTACACTTCGACAAGTACAGTAGCATTTCATTATTAAAAGTCATCTTCCGTCCATTTCATTATTAAAAGTCAATATAAAACGTTATTTCGTGGAAACCCATTATAGTAAAGTTGTTGAATGATCCGCGGATCTTAGCAAAGAAACTCTTAACAACTTTGACATTATTAACACACTACGTATAACTTAAGTTATATAACGTTTATGTATACGTAAGTTTCCTGGGTATGGCTCCTAAAATTTTAATAAACTCCCAAAAAACATTAAAGAGACTGATAATATAGACAAATTTAAGAAAATGCTTTCGAATTGTTTTTTAATAAAGCATGCTACTATATCAACGAATATTTTGAAGATAAAATGAATGATTTTTAGTATCTAAAATTAATGTCTGATTTATTTATTATATTTTATCTTTATGTTATTAAAGAATTATGTAATTGATAATAAAGATAGTAATTTATGTAATTTTTTCTAAACATACTAATTGTAATTGTAATTGACATGATATTAAATATTAATATTAATAATACCAGGTGATGATCATAACCAAATATTTGTATGCCTTTTAAGGTGGAACATAGTGTTACTTATACCTTACTTTGTTACTCATAACTTTTCCACCAAGTTTGTAACTTTTCCCTATGTATTACAAATAAACTATTTTGATTTGATTTAAGTTATTGTCTTACAAGTGATTAACATGGTTAAGTTTGGTTAGGTTATGTTATATCAAATTTGCGAAAGCGTTCCCGTGGCCCTGCCAATATGTGGCTAAGGTGGACCACCATGGGGTTTTAGTCGGTACGAGTCCGACATAACCCGTCCTTGCTTGAAAAAAAAAGGTGATTAATATCACCTTTTTTTTCAAGCAAGGGTAATCTGATGATTGCCAACAGTTCGTAGCAATATTCATAATAACCAGACATTATGATGAATAATAAAGTTTAAATCATTTGACTTGTCATTATTCATATTGCCCGGGCATTATAAGTAGAGATTAATCAGTTGGTCCATTACATATATTATGTAATATATCATACTTGATAGTGCCCAAAATGAGTAGGTAATATGATAAAAATAAAAAACTCTTGAAATAATTAAATAGACCGGGCTTTATGAATAAAGTCAGTTACATGACCAGACATTGTGATAAATAATAAGGTTTAAATCAGTATTAATTACGTAGCCCGATTTGACTTGTCATTGTTCACATTGCCCGGGCATTATAAATAGTGCCCTTATTTCTATAACATATACACCTATATTGATGTACAATAAATAATATATTGATTGATTGATTGATTAAGATGACACTTGAAATGTAATGTAATGTACTTACGTGGTATATATTACATCATCAAGATGCTCATAACCGTAAGGAAAATTATCTGCAGAACACCCTGCGCTCGCAAGGCATGCTATCGCTGGCTTTCAGACCCGAACTTATCGACTTCGTGGTCAGCACCATGTGTCGGGTGAAGCAACCGGAGGGAGAAATGTGTATGCGACTGGCCTTCCCCTTTGTCGGCGAGGATTATGAGCAAATTGACTGGGTAATCTAATCTATCTATCAACAATTCGTTTCTAAACATCTATCAATCATGATCATCATCATCATTACAGCCTACCAAAAAGTTCGTTTCTGAACATAGTCTCTCCAATAGACCCATAGGCGCCATAGTTGCCATGCTTAGCATACGAATTGGCAACCGCAGTCCTTTTTCATTTTGAGTCATTATCAGCAAGACACCATGACATGACAAACGATGGACAGCAACAAGCATGCTGCTGCCCATCTGTTGCCGTTTTCCTCCGTCGCCTATTACGACACCCACGGAATGATATGGGGGATTCAAATTGTATACACACCTTCATCTACATCAATTCATAAAAGTAGGACAGAGGCATCTCTTATTGTAAAGCAGATTTGCCGTATTCATCACACTTGTCAGTTGAGTTGGGGACTCCCCGAACTGGTTCCCACCTTGTCAGGTGAGAGAGAGAGAGCAAAGCAGCCGTGGTTTGTTCACTCATGATGAACAAAGAGGAACTCAAATAAAAAAGGAGTGTCTCCCTGGCACAAGTATTATTATTACTTAATAGGATGGTCCCAACCTCTGTTTACAGTTACAAACCATTTTGTTGTGAAATAAAGATTTTTGAAATTTGAAATTTGAAATTCTCCTCCTACTCCTACAGCCAAGGAGGAGTCGATATGAGATATACAGGCTGTTAGTGTAAACACCGTTGTCCTTGAAACCAGTGGTTTAGTTTCACTTATAGAACGTAAATTCAATGAATTTAAAAAAGACGCTATTTTCTTCCATAAAATATAAAAAGTTTCTGTCCGACACCGTCCATAAATTCATTGATACCCTATGCATCCGAGTGACGTAATCACTGTAAAGGTCACCGCCCGCGCTAGCTACCTACAGAATATTCCAATAAAAAAACAATAGGTACACATAACCTGTGATGTAACTTTTCCTTCATACTTTCATCGTGGCTTAGGACAGGCAAAAATTGAGAGATTAGGGAAAATTGAGATTTTACAAAAAAAAATATTGTTATTTTTCATAGAATTTACGTTCTATAAGTGACACCAAACCACTGGTTTCAAGGACAACGGTGTTTACGGTAACACCCTGTATATCCACTATCTGTCGAACAAATTATTCTATTTTTTTTATAAAAAGACAAAGTGTTTTTCATAGAATAAAGATGACAAACTAGAACACAGTCCACCTGATAGTAAGTGGCTGCTGAGGCCCATAGACATCTACCTCTGCTATCAATTACGAATCGAAATGCAAAAGCGTTATCACCCCTGAGGACTAAGATGGAATGCTTCATTACGAGTTAATAAGTGGCGAAATTAGAATAATTGTACAACCGACTTCAATATACATAAAATGAAAACATCATCAATGTAGTCGAAGTCAATACACATTATAAAGGACCAGTTAAAAACCATTGGTCAGATCTTGATCAAATTTATATGGGACCACATTAGAAGCACCAGCTACCAAATAAAAATAATAATAATCAAAACCTGTTTAATAAGAAAAAAGTTCTGAGGGAACACATATAAAAGAATACTGTCGAATTGAGAACCTCCTTTTGTTGAAGTCGGTTGAAAAGGGTCTCTGTTTACGCTCACTATCCGAAACCCAGCAGTATTGTTCTGTTGTTTCACCCTGGTATTCTGTGGGAGTGAGGTCCTACCACGGTCAAGCCGAACAATTTGTGCTGCAGCTTTGTATAGCTAGCATAGCTGCAGCAAAGCGTAGCTCATTTTTGCCTTTTCTGTTCGTCTCACGCCGAAATCATCGCCTCACGGATGAAATGTTTCTCCGAAATAAAAGCCATAAAAACTCGAGAATGAGATGAATGCAGAGCATCGGTAGTAGAATAATTGTAGGGTTTATTTATTATTAGTTCTTACATTTATTAGTCACCAACTTTAAAAATTATTTTATATTTTATTCAGCATAATTTTGCATTACATATGCAGACTCCAAGTTTTTAATTTGATAATCGTAGGTGCTTATTTCTAATCAAAAAATTTCGTCTATACATCATAGGACACTATCTACACTATCTACACTGTATTCTATTTCATTCTCTCGCAGGCTAAATCTTATAAAGGTATGTTTGTCTCTTTTTAGTTTGACTTTTTCTTATCCTCGAGTTTTAAAATCACAACGATTTTAAAGAAGAGTTCACTTCAAAAAATCCACAGAACGAAAAAATTGATTCCCTTACATCACCCGAATATGATTATTAAGTTGATTTCTTTACATCACTCGAATATGATATAATGATTAGCGTGATAAATGAACTATATTGTATTGCAGGATATAATGATGCCTGTGATAGTAGTGAGAATCCAGCCTGCGTCGTGGAGACAGTTGGAACATTTTGGCAAAATTGCTATTACTGGTAAGTAACATGGACCGACTGCTTTAGAGAAATGAAGCTTAAAGGATTATCTGATAGTAAATAACTGACTAACTACTCAATGGACTCTAAAATGTACTCTCGGAATTCATGAGTGTTAGTGCGGACACTAACACTACATAATGAAATCTATTATAGCTTTAGTACGAAAGCGTCGGCTCGACCGGGGAAGGACCACAAACTACCCACGAAAGCAGCATCTTTTCTTTAAAGCACAAGGTGACAACACATTTGCATTTTGATTCTCAATCGAGGATAGATATAGCTGTCTATGGGCCACAGCATCCTTATCCCATTAGGTTGACTATCACTGCTCGTTTGTCACTTTTATTCCATATAAAAAAGAGTAATAGCAACTCATATTACCAAACCGATGAATCGCTGGAATAATTGGCCTGAAATTGTTGTAAGTTTCGACTCGTAGAAAATATGAATGAGGAAAGAGTTATAAAGCACATATATGGTGTAGAAGTAAATGGCACGGTAAGCAAGGGACGCTAGAAGGAATTTTATCGACCAAACTGGCGATATACTGAAGATTGACCAAATTAAGAGTATTAACTGACTGCCAAACTTTTTTAACATCATTCGAAAAAAATACTTTTTTCCACGAGCTTAAATTAAATTTTATTTTCTTGCCCCCAAGTGTAGGTGACACTAGAAAAGTCACATCAAAGTAGATAATACAATAGGAAAATTTAGGTGCTAATGATGAAGATGAAGTATAAACTTAACCTAGTTACTAAGCGTTCACTAGTTAAATAAAATTATGAAAAAATTTCAGGTGTTTTCACCTCTTGGGAGGACGGTCTGTTCGGTGCTGTAAAACCGTATAACCTCTCAAATGTCAAAGTACCTGTCACACTGCTGTATGGTGAGAACGATCAGTTGACAGAAAAATCGGTAAGTGACTCATGGAATAATTTGTAAGCGTCTCCATTCTTTTTTTATATAGAAGAGGGGGAAAACGAGCATGCGGATCACCTGATGGTAAGTGACTACCGCCACCCATGAACAATTGCAACACCAGGGGAATTGCAGGTGAAAAAGAAAAATCATCGGTGGTAAACAATTCCACAAAGAGGTTGTGCGAGGAAGAAAACTCCCAGTAAAACGCACAGTAGTGCGTAACGTCAAGCATACAGATGGTGTGTATGGTATTGTGAATTTTGTCACAATGTGTGTTCGTGAAATTTGGTGGCTGGAATTAATCCGAACAATTCGTCAGACCACTCCCCGTGGTAGATGCGATAAAAAAAAACATGCGTGCAGCTCACACGCGACAGAAGTGAAACCTGCAAATGAAATGAAATATAAAATACAAATACTCTACGACAAATAATTTATTTAAACTACAAGTTCGGCATAAAATATAAGAAAATTTAATTTTATAGTAAATAAATGTAACAATCCTTTTAGTATATATATATATGAGACACCTAGATATTATATTTTCTTTCGTGTAAAATTATAATACATCTACTTCATTCTATAGGTAGTCACTTTATCGAACAACTGATTGACATCCAAGGTGGTACGTAAAATATACGCTAGATGGCCTGAATTTACGAAATCATGAATTTTTATGCATGTGTTATTTTCAATATGGTTAATTGTATTTGTTAATTTTTTTACTGTTTACTGCCGCTACCACGTGGCTGCCACTTCTATATGAAAATCATAGATTATTACAATGGAACCATACAGATGGGAAAGGCACGAAACTACCTACTTCCGGTTTTGATGTTTCTTTTTTTATTCCAATTAGTATTACTTGGACTTTAACTTTTAACTTTACTTGGTTGATGTCCAAGGAGAGGAGTGCTTTGCGAACCAAGCTCTGTGTAATCAGAAAATCCGCCATGGAGAACTCATCGGGGGATGATCGGTGGTGTGTTCTACCTGTCATCGAGAGTGGAGTTGGACGCAAAGAGAGAGACTAACAGATCAGCTTTTTCCTTTGCGGCATGGGTCAATGAGTCATCCTCTCTGTGCAACCTTGGCGAGAAAACAGAATGCCCAGGTTCCCGAAGGAAGGCGAACTAGTTGCCGTGCCTTGGGAATGACTTTTTTTAAGAACCTGGAGGCGGAATAATACTTATTTTTAAGAACGTTGGTGTTTACATCCTAGGATGTTGATGCGCCAGCCCAGGCCCGGTAGCAATCCTGCTTATAGCATGATGCTATTTTACAGGAACGATTAAGCTATGACTGGGATCTGCCTTCGATGATCTGAATCGCAGTAGATGGAATAAAAAGTGTGACCCTACCACATCAGCAACAGAATCAGCAACAACGTTGGGATTGCCCGGCGAGAAGCAAACCAAGGGTAGGCCGACATATGGTGCCAAACACGGCGGCAGCGTGCAGAATGCAACCGCGTAATTAGCGTGAGTGGCACCACACTCCGGACTAGACAATGGTCCGAGGTGCCAAGAGGGGCATCGACGGAGACTTGATATTCGTCCGGATGAGAGGTCAGCAAAAGGTCCAACAATAAAGGTGGCATGATCCTGTACATCTGGAATCCGCGTAGGCGAAGTAACCATTTGTGTAAGCCCCTATGCCAAGGCAAAGTTTTAAACAGATATCTCCGCATAATCGGAGGAGTCTAGTAGCTTGGACATGGATATTCAGCGAGGGATTCTCTATTTCCAGGGGTGCTGGTACCCTCCTGGGGTAGTATAACATTTAATTTGCTATGATCCTATAATATATCTTCCGCTTGATGGGCGAGAGGAATTGGTCCTCCAACCACCTGCACTCACTAGACGAAACGCAGAAGCAAAGTTTCTGGAGCGGTAGCTGCTGGAGATACATACCTACAGTCAGACATAGCGGTCAACATACTTTATACGTCCATTTTACAAGCCGGCATTTTCTAAACTTATTCTTCGTAACGTCCCCACAGTGAGATTCACAGAAATTGTAAAAAATAGACTTGTTTTATTCATAATTCATATAATTTATGCAACTCTAAAAATAAAATTGAATAAACAAATTCTATTATTTGAAACATTTTACCGATTATTCGCATTAGAATGAATTTGAATCATTCAAACACTTTGTGACTATAGTAAGGTGCACATCGACATATTTTAACAATGTTTAGCATAAAAATTGATTCTGGTTATTTTTTTTATTATTTTTTGTTGAAAGACTCGAATTAAAATAAGTGATAAAGAACATGTTGTAATAAAATATTGATAACTTAATGTCTTTGGATTTACGTAAAAGTTTATTTTAAACATGTGAGTACGTTTTTACAAAGTTATTGAGGAATGATAAATGTGAAACGTCAAAAGATATTTCCTGGATTTGGTTGAGCACAAAGTTCGAAATAGAGAAAAAATGCAATTTCAACTGTTAGATGTCAAGGTTTACTGCCTATACCAGTATACCTTGTTGAAGGTTTCGGTTTGGAAGGTTTAGGTAATACATAATATTTTAATAATCACTTTACTCAAAATACGAGCTATTGTATTATATTAACACAAAACATTTTGTGATGCTTAATATAACTTTAACAAAATAAGATTTTTTAATATTACCGATTTAAAAGTATTAGTTAAAAAATAAAAGACAACTTCAAAGAAGTAAAAAGAATAAAATAACATCAAATTTTGAAGTCGGAGAAAAGGCAACATATTGTATAGTAGACGAACGAAACGCCCAACTTGTTTGCCCTGGAGTTTTATTTATATAGTTTTTATTATTTTTGTATAATGTTACGCGACATCTTTTTTATAGGATGAGGGTGACGAACGAGCACACAGTTCACATGATTGTTAGTGGTTACAGTTGCCCATAGACATCTACATCAATCCTTGGTTACGAATTAAAATGCAGATGCACATGCGTAAAAGGGTATATCAACGTGAATTGTGAACCGATTTGGATATTTCCTTTTTTTAATTAATTGGTTATATTTCAGGGATATTGCCATATAAATTTGGAGAAAAACTTCCACCCTAAAAGTGCCAAAATGGGGGTGGAGTTTATAATGTACCAAAAGCCGATTTCAAAGAACTAAAAAGAATAAAAATAATTTCACATTTTGAAAACGTGGCTTAGATTATTCTATATGTTACAGTCAAATGTGGATACTCCGGCGTTTCTAGGTTTGACTAGTCAAACCTCATATCTGACTTAGAGTCTCAGACAAAGTCCAAATTAAAGACGTTTTTCTGCTATTGACTAACGAGTTTTTTCCTAACCTAGGAGAGACTAATTTCAACAGTCAAACGCTGAAACTCATTTTCATGAAAACGGGCTTGGACCAGTCAGACCACAATTAGGTATTGGGATGTAATAGTTAGTCAGATTAGGTATAATAAGAATCTCACCTCACTTTTTTACACAGAATTATTGATCTTAAGTTAAGTACACGATCTAGTTAGTAAAGTTAGTTAGTAGTTATGTAACGGCTTGTAGGAAGTGCAGACCCCACCCGCTGCAGGAACCTATGCGAGTCGTAGCGGTTGAGGCTTTTTTTATAGCATAGAGTGACAAACAAGCACACAGTCCACCTGATGGTAAGTGGTTGCTGTGGCCCATAGATATGTATCCTCAATTACAAAACAAAATGCATATGCGTTGTCACTCGTGAGAACTAAGATAGAATGCCTCATTTCCAGTAAAAGGGGTCTCCAGTTCTCTACACTCACCATACGAAATACAGCAGCATTTAGCTACTATTTCACGGTATTCTGTGAGAGCGTGGTCCTTCCCCGGTGGAGCCAACCAACCCAACCGTGCTACAACTATTCTTCCAATATAACTGTAGCATGGCTCTATTACGTATAAAAAGTAGTTCACCCCCGTTCGCCAGCTTTGGTTTGAGCCAAAGCTGCGGAGGTGAGCAGGCTGCTCTTCCTCTGCGCCTATGGCTTTACAAAAACAGTATAGAGATAGGGCAGACAAGACTACGTGGAGTCTGGGCGTGGTGATTAGATTTTAGAGCAGATTCGACCTATCTTATCTATAATGTAAGGTTGTCCTAAACTCTGCTATAACAGTGTAAATGAACTATGTTTAGTGAATTTTTAGTTTTGTTTTCTTAAAAAAAATTTGACTCCTCTGCATTGTGACTCAGTCCGTTGTGTATGAGCCCTATCTTTAGCCACAATTGAATAAGAATCGAGACGTTTGACCAAATTTGCCTTAGTCGCTTCTAACCAGTCTTCTAGGCAGTGCCCGAAACGGATTATTTTACTCTTGACGTTTGACTAAAAAGTTAGGTACTTCTAGGTTTGACTAAAAATACTTCAGTCAAAGGCTTTGCCGAAAGGCCTTGGTTAAACTAGTCATTCCGGGAAGAGACTGCATATCGACCTTTGACTAAAGCATATTATACACTAGTTCTTAGCAGCGATTTCAGGATGGGAAATATTTGTATTTTTTTACCACGTTTTAGTAACTCGCATTGGTGTAGGAATGTCCATTCGGGTGATATTATTGTTTTTAAACTATCTTCTCGATGAGATAGAGACTAACGCGGACTAACTAAAAACGGGTATATTATTTTTTTAAATAAATAATATTTTAAAATTTCACTAGTTATTAGTTCACTGAAGTCAGCTTTTTAGTACAAGTTATTTATAACTACTATACTAATCTGAAAGACTCGCTGCCTGCGGTGCTGTAAATGGGGAAACAGAACGCCGCTTGTTGCACCGCGGGCAGCGAGTCTTTAACATTAGTATAGCAACTCCATGAGAGGCCAATTTTTAACAGTTGACTGTTAACTAATAGACCAGACCGATGTCAGGCTGATGGTGGATAATATAGCTTGTAAAACAATGTTTCAGCAAATAATGCGCCTTGCCAAAGAGCTACGGAAAACCGGCATGCTGGAGGAGATCCGGCCAGGATGCAACTGGCCCAAGTTTAACCATCTAGACTTCGTGTACGCCAAGGATCTCGGCAATCTGCTCAATCGGCCACTCGTCAAGCACGTTGACAAGATGTTTAATAAATATGGATAGAGCACGTGTCTTATTTTATTTTTCTTTTTATAAAGGCAAGACTGAATAAGCTAAGACAATAGTAAATAAAATAGCAGCAATTTCGGTCACGACGGCCAGTCTTAAGGGAGACTAGGCATCTGCGTGAGACAGGATTATAGTGCCCGAGTGAATGCGCAAGCACAAGTGCACTCTCACTATTCCCTCACTCTCATAGTCCGATCGGTCCACAAAACCGACACGACCGGAGAGATTAGGGAGCAAGGAGGACAGGACCGACGGCTTTACATTCTTTACGAGGCACGGGAGTAAAACGCCTCGAACTCCCTGAATCCGGGCTGCTATTGAGAATTTTTTAACAGAAAAACTCAATTAATTGCTTTTTTGACCCGACCTGTGGTTCAAACCTGGGACCTTATGATCACCAGTCGCGATTACGGCCACTAAACCAATGAGGCCTTATATCCGCATTATTTAAAATGGTATGAATCACTTGCAACTGGCATTACAAGCAACAAGGCAAAAAAGTCGGAAACGAACACGGCAAAGCATTGACTGAAGAAGAACACATCATGAAAAAGCAACTAATATGGAAATATTTAATGAATATTTAATAATAAACAATCGACGTAAAATCAAAATTCAAACAATTTCATCAAAGATATCTTAACTTGAATAAAACGTTTTCGGTATACTATCTAAAATCTACAACAAAGTTCCATCTATGTTTCATGAAATGGATTCCGATTATATATATAATCGGAATCTACTCCAACGATTTTCATAAAATTTTGTGTCCAGGGAGTTTCGGGGGCAATAAATTGATCTAGCTAGGATTTATTTTTAAAAAATGTCTTTTTGTCGATGTTTTCAGTCAATAAAAAACTGTTACAATATAAGAAAGTAAATTTTGAAAGACTACTAAAGATCGTAATAGCTCAGGTGGGATGTCGGTCGGGCGTGATATCGAAGTTTCGTGGTTCGCGTCCCTTGGGTCCGACTTTTTCCCTTTTTTCAAATTCCCTTCTTTTGTGAGAAAATCTATTATTTCGAGCCCTTTTTTTTTAGTAATTTATAAAAATAAGAAAAATTTTAATTAAACTAATTGCACTCATGATTTTCATTCAAATAACCAGTTCAGTTTTTTCTATTAGTCAATAAGATCAAAAAATATTATTCATGTAATTTCTATCAATGTAACTTAAAAAAAAAACCAAGCAAAGCTCGGTCATCCGGGTACTGGATAAATATATAAGCGACGCATTAGTAGGCATATTAATAAAAATAATAATAACCTTTGTTATTTTCTCCCACCAAAAGTACATTGCTCTGTAATAAACATTGTTTTCCTTATAAATAATGAAAAGGATACATTATTTGTGGGAGACGGGAGTCCAAACTAGTCTTTGCTATGGATATCCCGGCTCCCTCTTTTGAATAATCAAATATTTGAAAATAAATATTGCAGTGACAATCTTTCTTACCGTTTGCGACTAAGCGAGTTTATCGTATGTGGTGTGTGTGCATGCATACGCGTGCGTGCATGCGTGTTTGTGTGCGTGCGTGCGTGCAGTGCGATCGTGCGTGCGTGCGTGCAGTGCGATCGTGCGTGCGTGCGTGCGTGCATGTGTATGCGCGTTACTTTGTACGTGGTAAGCTAAGATGTATTTTGTGTAATAATTTTTCTGTTTTTTGATAATCAGTTTAAGCAGTCAGTCAGTAATTTTCTTTTTTAATTGTTATTTTGTTAAATTAACTATACGGTGTAGTTTGTTTGCTTTGTTATATAATCGACTACCTTTGACTCTGAAAAACTTTTGAAGAGAAAATGTTCTTACTGGAATAATTTTACAAACTTCGTAATCCCTCTTTGTACCAGAATTCCCTATATTTTCCAACAATTCAATACAACAACGTTTTTTTTTATTAGAGCCTCTCCATACAGTATGACATAGGACAGGATACATTTACCTAATGATTCATATACAGTTTTAATTAAATTCCAATTTGCGATAAGTCTTAAGTAATGTATAATCTATAATGACATTGCATATGTAAATATCACTTTAATGTATAATTTAATAAAATCATTGATATTAAATGTCAATATAATTTATGTTGAACCTTCTAATATAATTATCATATAAAGATTATAATAATGAAACAATCTTAATATATATAAATTATTTGCGAATTTAAATATATATAAAACATTACGTGTCGAAGGGCAGAACAACGTTGCACATCAATTTGTCTCACGCATAATTAACGGGTAGCCAAAACTCCCAAACTATCCTTACATACCTCTTTCGATTTTAAGTTCATAACTTTGCACACATGCACGTGATCCAGTCTTTGTCCAACTTGAGAGATAGACCTCGACAGTTTTTTTGCTCATACGGCGCTCAACGTGACCCAACCCAATTTTTGTGATGTCACTGCCATATTGCGAATTTAAAGATCATTTTAGCGCATAGTACATGACAGGGTTGTCAAAATAGGCGGCCGGCAGACCACATCTATACATCTTCCTCCCGGCAAAGCATCCCCATTATCCTAGACTCTGTACAATAGAAAAATAGAATTGTAGTAGATTTAATTGTAACTATAATATGAGTATACCTGAGCGCTGAATGCAGCGAACATAATTTTTTGCAAAGATCTAGTCTCTCTGATTACCTGTATTCACAAATAAAAAGGTCAATTTGAATATATCATGGTTGAAGAACGAATGGGTCGGCCGTAACAGGAAGGACCACGCTCTCACAGAAAACAACATAATGTTGTTGCGCTTCGTTTAGTGTGTAGAGAAACGGATGTCAAGGAATTCCATTTTAGTTCTCAGGAGTGACAATCCATTTTAATTCTTAATTGAAGATAGATGTTCTTTTCTTCCACTTACCATCAGGACATCAAATATAAACTAATACTGTAAGAGTCACGCTGCAGCTATATATATATATATATATATATATATATATATATATATATATATATGTATATATATATATAGCTGTGTTTCGTATGGTGAGTGTAGAGAACCGGACCCTTTTTACTGGAATCGATGCATTCCATCTCAGTCTTTAGGGGTGAAAATTTTGATTCCTAATCGAGGATAAATGGAAATGGTGTACTCGTTTTTTTACTTTATTAAAAAAACTCAACGACAACTCATGTGTTACGTCACGTGACGAATCGCTGAAAATTTTTCATTTTTAAAGTTTTCTGTTAGCGTCAACGATTTCAAAAAGTCAACATAGCTAACCGGAACTGAGCTACCCCAGTTTTATTACCAACCCGAAATAATTAAATTCTAGATTAAAATTAATTCTTAAGTCCTCTTGACCAGTGATCAGCTAACCTTGTAATAGTTTAGGCATGTTGACAAGACATGTTTGCCGTTGTGAGGTTGATGATCGACCTTACCTCCTCAAAGGTTGTTAATATCAATTAAGTTATTTATTTTAGGGCTAATATGGGCCTTGCCACGGAGTATCTTTTTAAGAAAAAGATTTGTTAAGCACTTATCATCTTAAAATTACTTCCTTGCGTTACTAACGCATGTATTATACATTAAAAACCTGTTTGCTAGTGACAGCATAAATAATCCTGGTAAAGCAAACGAGGGTCGAATAAAAAACACATATGACGCCGGTTTGCACCATTTACGCAGAAGAGCTAGTGTAGCGAATGCTAGTCGAAATACTTTGTTTATAAAAGCGATTAATTTATACCAGTTTGTGAATTAAATTCAAATTTGTCGCTTTTTTTGAGTAAGCCGCGGAAATTTAAAAATAAACGCACAAAGTTTGAGTATTTATCCAGGATATAAATGGTTTAAAGGTTTATCTTTAGATATATAGTGGTGATTAACGTTTTTATTTAGAAATAAAAAATGAAGTGCATATTATACCTAACCTTCGTCTTGTGCTCAAACATTTTTGTGACGAGTGGTAGATTCCTTATACAAGATGCTCACATATCAGTGGTAAGTTTTCCAAAACTTTCAATCATACTAGGTATACGTCTAATATATAAAAACTAATGTTTGTTCGTATTTTACGCGCCGCTATACTATTCATCAGATTGCGCTAAATCTTTGTCAACTTATTGCTTGCACTTTCGCGAAGGTTAGAGTGCAATTAACTTAGAATAGGTGGCGAACATATCGTAGCGATATTTGAAAGTTAGATATTATTCAATTTTAATGAACGTATAACAATTCCTAATTAAACAATATAATTTTTCCAAATTTAAAATTATACTTTTTTACGTGGTAGAGCCACGCAGCAGCTATATTACCGTTGTAGCACGAATGGGTTGGCTCGACCGGGGAAACAATACGCTCTCACAGAATACCAGCGTAAAATAGCAGTTTAATACTGCTGTGTTTCGTATGGTGAGTGTAGAGCTAGATTCGGAGACCCTTTTTTACTGTGAACGAGGCATTCCATCTTAGTCCTCAGGCGCGACAACGCATTTGCGTTTTGATTCTTAATGGAGTATAAATCTAATAATAATAATGTCCTCCAGACCGAATTTCGGCCACGGCGGCCTGCCTTAATAGAAGCTAGCCATCGGCGCAGGACAGGATTATAGTGCCCAAGTGTATGCGCAAACATAGATGCACTCTGAAATAATACTAGTTTATACGGAATTTATCGCGTATATTTAACTTTTTAAATACCCGACGTTTCGAACGCTTTACCGCATTCATGGTCACGGGTGGGACTGAGATGTTCAACGTTCCATATGTCATAGTTAACCGCGGTTACCATAGATTAAAATTTAACTTTTGTTCCGATCTATACAGTATGAACTTATGGTATCTTGAAGTCTTGCAGTTGTATGCTTGGGTTGGGATTTAATTTTATTTATTATAGGATCCCAAGCAGATGGTAGCACCCAGCCATCTTCTCTATTGAAATTAGGATGTTTTTTGATTTCAATAGCCTCGCGAATCATCCTTGGAAGGAATCGGTGTTCTTTAGCGAGGATTTGCGGTCTATCAAATCTGATGT